TCTGGGTTGATCTAAGTCAGGGTGTGGCTAACTCACAGATCAAACAATGAAACAACCTGTGGGCTGATCTAAGTCAGGGCATGGCTAACTCACAGAATGAACCCTGAAACATCCTATTCACAGATTGAATTGGAATTTAGCTTGTTAAGTTTTGGCCAGGGAGGAAAACTGGTGAACCAAGAGAAAAATCCTTGAATGATGGAATAGACCTAATAAACGTTACTCGCATGTGACTCACAAGTCTGGGAATCAAACCTGAGATCCCAGATGTGAGAGGCAAGTGTATGGTTCTTCAGTTCTTTTCCCTCCACTAAAATCAACTCCTAAATTCCAGTTCAGTCATGGAACAAGAAACCCATGTTTATTATTCACTGCCTATTTATCAGCTACTCTCATAAAACAAAACCTTATTTTTTTATTTCTTATTTATTTTTACTAACCCTTTCTATTTGAAGTGGTGTTGCATTAACGCTAACCGCCACAGACACAGGCCAGTTGGTATTTGTTTGTTTATCTTCGTGATGGTAACACTTGAATTGTAACTCTAAATCGGGTCTGCAACCAAACACAGTATAAAAACTWAAGATTAATATCAACCCAAGAGGTCCAAAAAAAAGTTGGAACAAGTGGTTATATGGGTGACGCATGATTTAGGCTAAAATTAACTCATGCATGATATGTGAAAATAACAAAATGTTAAGGGTGATTCTTGAATTCTATTTTTACCATTTAAACATTTATAAATATTGATGTGTGAAACAAGATGTCCACCCTTTGTGTGCGTGCGTCCCTGTTTATACTTGGTGTGCAACTACAAAATCCCTTGAGATATAAATAGCTATGAAACAGCCACCTTGTTGGTCGATCCTTACAACAGAATCTAATAAGGAATGCTTTCCTATTGTCAAACAAGATGGCAGCTATGAAGTAACATTTACCCCGAGAATAAAGCAAGAATCTTAATAATATTTCTTAACGCCGGAAAAACGGTGCGTTGTGGGGAAACGGTTAAGAAAAAAGACAAACACTTTGAGTTTTCAGGAGACATTCCCAAAGCTTTCTTCTATTTGCATAAATATCTATATTTTTATATAAGTAGTTAAGTCATTGTACACATTTACACTCTTGATAGCAGTAGGTAATGTTGAGCATTTGAAAGAGTGTTTCATCCTCTATCCAACACCTCAAAGTTGTTTTTCCAACTCATTTCTCAGTGTTTGAAAATCGGATGAAACACTCTTTTCCATACTCGATATATCATTCGAGAATGTATTAACATAGTTACCTTTGCATTAATGTTTGATGAACCGAGTCTCGCAGATGGAATACATGATTACTGACTGCTAAGTTGTGTTCCAGTCTAAATGCTGGCAACACAATACCGTCTCTAACTGGGAATGTTAGTCGAATTACATCATTTTCCACTGAAATGAAAAACAAATACAGAGAACCTTAAGCTGTTAGTGGGAGATTTGAGATGGGTGATTTGAGACTAAACTGAATTTTTGTGGTTTTATGTTCTGAGTAAAATATGAAAAATCACATTCCTAACTCAAAGGTCATGCTTCATATTCAAAACTAAAAGTAAAACTATGTCGTTCGGCACTGAATGTATTGCATTTCGCAGCGTGTTACTCGGTGTCAGAATATACCTTATTCGTGGTGTGACAATGTTTTTTCGATTCAGCGTGACGAACCTCCAGGGGATTCATTTTCTTTTGTTTTTACTCTTCGAGAAATTCATGAGTATCCCAAAGGATATGAAAGGAATAACGATGATATCCCGACGAGTTTCAAAACAATAGGTCTTCATTCCCCCAGAGGTTTGACACGCTGAATTGGGACAACATTGTCACACCACGAATAAGGTCTATTTAGTTTCCAGATCTCCAACCAACAACATCATTTTGAACTAGGTGTATGACATATTAGCAGGAATGGAGAGTTTGCATGCCTAGCATGACATTTTAAATATTACAGACTGTAAATACAAGGCTAACAAAAATATCATGACTCAAAAGGGCACAGTCAATATAGTAAAAGTGGAGAGTTTGAAGAAAAGTACTAAAATAGGACCCAAGATAGTGATGTCCAAAGATTGGCAATTTAATAAGAGTTGTTCTTCGTGTAAGCTGTTGTCTCAATTGAAAACAGAACTACTATGTAGCTATGGTCCTTAACTGGGGTTAGCAAAAGAATGACAGTTAAAACAGTTAAGTTTTTAAACAAAAAAGAAAATCACCCTTATATGTATGACTTAGCATTATACATTGCATATAGATTTTTTCGTCAATCATGATTACACTACTATTCTTATGTAAATACCACATAAATCATTTTGTCGTAACTCTACTCACATGTTCTTAGTCTCGTAGGTTTAACGTCTTCCAGCACAGGTGGCGAAGGTGCCACTGGCTGTAACGAATTAGGTTGTGAAGATTTATTATAAGTGAACGTTGGGCCATTTCCTTCCGAGATACTCATATACGGACTCGACATCGGCCCTGGAGTTAAAGGTGCACCAGGAGGTGACAGAGCATTAGCGATAGGAGGGGGTACAAATGGTGCCGCATTCTTGGGTACTCGACGTCTTGGACCTGATCTACTTGATGGTATTGCACTTATTTGTGTATCATACATTCCCATTGGGGTCATCGGGTTCATCTGGCTCATTGGTGGGCCTCCATGATTCATACTGCTGACGAGGCTGCTTGGAGGCATACCTCCCATCATTCCCATCTGCTCATTTCCGTTGGGCTGGTTTCCAGGTCCCACTTGAGACATTGGGTTGACCTGGTTCATGGTGGGTGTGTAGGGTGGGGGAGGAGTGGGTTGTTGCTGTTGGTAACCATTATGTGGTTGGTACCCAGGTTGTTGCATTGGGTAGCCTGGTTGCTGTAAGTAAAAGACAAAAATATAGCATGAGATATCAAGTAAATGCTACAGTATTACAGCATGAACTATGTACAAGCCACTTCAGTATTACGGCATGAACTATGTGCAAGCCACTTCAGTGTTACAGCATGAACTATGTACAAGCCACTACAGTATTACAGCATAAACTATGTACAAGCCACTACAGTATTACAGCATGAACTATGTACAAGCCACTTAAGTGTTACAGCATGAACTGTGCACAAGCCACTTCAGTGTTACAGCATGAACTATGCACAAGCCACTTCAGTGTTACAGCATCAACTATGCACAAGCCACTTCAGTGTTACAGCATCAACTATGCACAAGCCACTTCAGTGTTANGCACAAGCCACTTCAGTGTTACAGCATCAACTATGCACAAGCCACTTCAGTGTTACAGCATCAACTATGCACAAGCCACTTCAGTGTTACAGCATGACCTATGCACAAGCCACTTCAGTGTTACAGCACTTGACTATGCACTGGGTTCCCCAAAAATGATCTATCTAATTATATCTACTTACTGGTCCATATTGTGACGGTCCATACGCTGACGTAGGTTGGGACTTAAAATGCTGCATTTGTTGTTGTTGTTGTTGTTGTTTCTTCATCATCAATTCCTGCAAGTATTGTTGTCTACTCATGGGATGTTGACCTTTGATCATTGTCGAGGGGTGACTGGGTTGTGGTCCCATCTGCGGAGACTGTTGTGCCATGAACTGTTCCTGGGTGTAGCCAGGAAAGCTATGACTGCGCTGGTAAGGTGGTGGCGGATGTTGAGGATGGTTAACCTGGTTATTATTTGGGTACTGTCCTCCTTGTGCAGGAGAATAGCCATATCCCTCTGAAATTCAGAAAATTGTAGAAATGATCACTCATTATAAAGCAAGTCTTAGTTATATAATATTTCTTAAAACCATGCTTCTTTTTAGCCATTCTGAGGTTGAGGAAAAAACTGGATTGAATTAACATTCCAGTGCATTTTGCATATTTACGAGATGGCATTTATTTCATTCCCAAAACAGCCCCAAAATGCACTGCGATGCCAAATGGACCCAGTTTTTTCTCGGACCTTGAAATGGGTAATATATAATTAACAATTAGACTCATAGACCATGAGCTCAAAATTGAGCTGTATTTTAGATTGCTTCAAGGGTCTTTCAACTGGTAAATAACAAAAAGAAAATGATGGCCAGCAATGTGGGGAAGTTTAATTTTCTAGCTCTTAATGAATTAACAATTATTTTTTTAAATTATCTAGTCATTGAACTTGTTTGTCTGTCTGTCTGTTTGTTGCTTCATCTTTTTGTTGCTTGCAACTATTTTTCAGACATTTTAAAGGGGAATAAGATTTTTTTCTTAGTTTGGTGTTGAAAAACTTTATCTAAAATCATAATTATAAAGATTCTAAATGAGAATAAATGTATATACACACCCATTTGCTGCTGCTCTTGTAAAGCTGCCGTCGCAGTTGCTGTCGCAGTGGCTGTTGCTGTGGCAGCAGCAGCAGCAACAGCTGCGGCTGCGGCTGCAGCAGCAGGGTTGGCAGGTGTAGACGGGAAAGGCGAAGCATTGGGTGGAGCATTTGGTTGCTGTGGATACATTCCATTAGGATAGGTTCCATTATTTTGGTGAACGTTTGGATTGTTCCCACTTGGATAACTATGTTGTCTTTGCATATAGGAGGAAGCCGTAGTGTCTGGCATCATCCGCCGATTGGGGTACCCACCTAAAGGTAATCAAAAAATCAAGATATTTACATGGTGCCATTCACTCAGACCTTTTGTTCATTCTATAAATGCATCAAGAGTTCTGTGCTACTGCTCTTAGCGCATGCTCAAGGATCAAAAAGCGTCATCAAAAAGTATGACCGGTTGTAAAAATTGCCATATTTGGTACATTTGATTTGGATCAATTAATTCTTGAATATTTAATAGACGTTGTTCTTGATAATGCATTTGCAATAAAGCAATTTTTACAACCCTTGATCCCAATTTTTGACAATGTTTGACGTAAAAAATCAAGTTGATCTGCAGGCAAATTTCCTGTAATTCAGTGGAACTTATCAAAACCCAGAACTCTTGAAATAAGTCTTTGTTCTTAGCTCTCTTTATGTTTATTTTCGTTAAAATGTTTTGGCTTAACCAGGAAAAACATTTCCAAGTTGTTTCCAGAAACTGTCGAGAACAAAAAAACAAAGGAACCCCTCCCAAAAGGAATAAAACCAACAACCATCTCAACTCAATGGCCCCAGGAATCAAAATGCATACTATAGATTTCTGAGAGGCAAACGCTCTACCACTACACCACAAAACCCTACTTGAATGGGAATTGCAATGTTATAAATAATTCTCCTATTGCATTTTTTTTTTCTTTTTGTTTTGTAAAATCATTTTGAAATGTTCAAAACTTCCTATTCTTGTTAATATGGGGCAGCATAAAAGTGTGTATACATGAATACTTAACATAAAGTTGAATATGCATAGCTTCAGAAAATATTCTTATGCCTTCCTTCCCCACAGGGGAATGCTAGTAACCTAGACTACACAAAGAAATAGAAAACAAAGATCAAACCCCCCTCAGGCACACAGAAACAATCCCCTTTATAAGGAAGGCATGGATATTTTCTGGAACTACACTTTTTATTTGATTTCATTTCTGATACAAAATATGGTAAAGACATTGGAGTGTTATGACAACTTCTGTTTTGATAAAGGCTGGAAGGCCATGGATATTTTCTATAACTATAGATTTCATTTGATTTCAATTCTGATACAAAATATGGCAAAGACATTGGAGTGTAATGACCACTCTCTTATGCCTTGACAATAGCTGTGTATGTAAATGTATTGACTATGATGGTGACGACAGGGCTAAACATAACAGCTGACCAGTCACCGGTTATTATGAATAGCCAAATGGATCCTTCTAAAAATGATCTTGGATGTTAGGCTGCATTCATAATGTATGGCGGGGGGGGGGGGGGGGGGG